GGAAGGGCTGGTGAGATGGGATATGAACTGTGCAAGGGAGGGGACTATGGGCATGGAGCAGGGCCAGACAACAGGGCACAGGAAAGTGTTTAGAGGCTCAGTGATATCTATAGTGGGAAACAGGAAGGGAAGACTGTATATGGAGAAGCTAAAAAAATGCAAATGTTTTATTTTATATTTACAAGCAGTGGACAATGAATATTAGTTGCACCAATTTTTAACAAATGAAAACATTAAAACCTGTATTTTTCCCCCTCCATATAATGTTTTATCTTCTACATATCCTGTTGTAATGTTTAAAACAGTAGAATTCTTTACCATAAAAATACTCATTTGTTACATTTATTTGATTCTTTAAAAAACTTTATTTTTTATACTTTCGGGTATATACATTCTCCACTCACCACTTCATGTATGAAATTAATGTGTGCTGCGTTCAGCTGTTTGTTTTCATAATATGCCATGGGCCAAATCCTGCTCATCTTAGACTTCTATAGGACTACTTACATAAGTTCAGTTTGCAAGACTTGGTATATCTCTAATAAACGTAAGAGTGCCTGACAAGGTGGGTGTGACCAATGTTGCATGCTGGGATTGTGAACGTGGTTTATGCGTAGAGTGCTAATCCTATTCTCTCCACTTAGCACCTGTGTTTACCCCAAAAATGTTTTAGAATAATTAGGCACTGATTTTCTCTAATGCTCCAGTTTTACACTGTGTAATTCCAATAAATTAGTTCAGTAGAGTTATTTCTGATTTACACCAGTGTAAATGGGAGCAGAATTAAGCCATTAGTATTTTAGAAAAATAATAAAGGATTTCATCCTTTTCTTAGTGAAGTTAATGGCAAATCTTCCATTAACATCAGTGGGGCAGGAGTAGGCACCAATTTAAAAATACCCTCCAAAATACCTCCCTGCAAAAAAAAGAAGAAAAGAGAGCGCACAAAAGAGCATCATCCAACTGACACAAAGGCAGAAACCCAATAAAGAAAATGCAGTGCAAAAGTCAACATAAATCAGGTTTGTCAGAATAAAACAGGTGAGTCCATTTGTTGGTAGACCAGATTAATGTAAATCAAAGCATTGTAAAGGTTCCATATTATGGAGATTTGTGACTGGTAAACTTTCATAGTGTGATGAAAGATGGTAGTCATCAGGCAGTGGGAATAAAAAGCAAAGTGAAGCTTAAACTCTGAAACAAAAATCAGGCCTGTTAATGTCTAACACACTGAGGCCAAAAAATCATAAGAATCCAGCTGTGAAAATAAGACAGAAGCTGTATTAGTTTTCTCCATTCTGCGTCTCACGTTTAAGTGTTGTCAACTGATGAGAATTTTGTCCCTCGAGGATTGTCATGGGGTAGTTTATTCCATGTAAAGTGGAAATTCTGCATCACATAGAGGATCTTGTGAAATGCTATAAAGAGATGAAGGCTACAGGCTGAGATCAATAATAGAAAGGATGAAGGAACAGAAGAAACAGAATAATCTGCCACATGTTCTTATCTAGAACAGTTTCTCAGTGAAAGGAGGAAGCATGTTTGCAACATGCAAGCTACCAGCAGCTGTGACACCTTTTAATAGTCAACAGTTATTAATAGATAAAAGTTGACATGTTTATTCTGAAACTGACTTGTATATAACAATTTAGGATAGTTGTAAATCCCAACCAAGGCATTTCTTTCTGTGTCTCTTAATGCTATTGTCATTTGTGTTGCAAAGTTCCATTATTTTGGTGAAAAGCATATTGTAAATAGGCTACAACTTCTTAGGCGGGATTTGTACACTGAAGAAACTTCAGCAGTATGACTTCACTCCACAGTCAAGAAAAAGAAAATTAATCCAACAAAAAATGAACTTCAAAGGGAAGGAGAGCATCTAGTGCTCAGATCAAGGGACTCCTGCTTCTAGTCCCAGCTCTGCCATTGACTCTATGTGACCTTGAGCAAGTCACTTAATCTCTTTGGTCTAATTTTTGCACATTTAAATAGAACCTTACTCTATATGGAGTCCCACTTTCTTTCAGCTGAAATCAACGAGGATGTTCAAAGGATAAGAGTCTACTCAGTGAAGGTATAATATACTTACAAACCAGACCACATAGTACCTTAAGTCTGAGCAATTTGCAAAGCAATTTGCAAAGCAATTTGCAAAGCAATTTGCAAAGGTGTTTTGTTAGCCTCATTTTATAGATGGGGTGACTGAGGCACACAAAAGTTAAGGGCCTGATTTTGCCACCCTTATTCACAATGAGTAGCTATGTTACCCCATGAGTATCCCATGAATCAATAGAAGGTACTACTCTTCATGAGTAAGGGTGACAGTATTGAGCCCCATGGGCCAGATTGGCAGGAATCAGGGCATGCAGCAGAACCAGTCTTTGGCAACCTCACAAGTGTGCAACTGGTGTGTAGTAGGCTGCCTGATTGGCTATGCCACCTGATTAGCTGGAAGAGTCAGCAGACTGGCTCTTAAGCCCAGCAGCAGGAGTTCAGTGGCTGTTCAAAGTATTTGCCTATGGCTGTGGTAGCTCCCGTGCCTGCTTGTTCCCAGCCTTGGACCCAGCCCTGCTCCTGCCTTCCCTAACTCCATATAACCCGGCTGTGACGTTTGGTGCTGATTCTTGACTTTTGACTCCAGCTGTTACCCTTGGCTCTGGTGCCTGGCTTCTGACTCTGGCTCTGGCTCTGACTCTATGCTCCTATTCCTGGCTACTGACTCCTGATCGAACCACTATGCCTGACATGACTTGTGATCTAACCACTATGCCTGACTGCTCACATCCCAATCACTGACACAGATACTGACCACTTATTCCCTCAGCACTCACCTCGCCTGGCAAGGGTTTCAGACGCATCACTCATCTGCTTTGCAGATCCCAGTGAGTATTTTTCATTGTGGTAAGTATGGGAAGCTCCCTCTCTGCTTTGCAAGTGCAACACCGCAGTGAGCTACAGTATTTGCTGCGTAAGGCTCAGCATGACTGCCCCACTCGAGAACTCACTCTCCTGCTACAGGAGGTGAGTGCCCAGTGCCCGTGGTACCCTGAAGCTGGAACCCTTAAGCTAGCGGACTGGGAACGGTTGGGCCAGACATTGCACAAGGAGCCTCGGGCGCCCGTGCAGGCTTTACATGCCTGGCACCTCTGCCGCGACGCGATACAGCGTGTCGCTTCGGACAGGCCCTCCCTCGCGGGGCTGATGCTCTCGCCACTCCCGTCCGCTCCTGCAGCCATCCCCCCTCCTAGCGATGCGACACAGTGTGTCGCCTCGGAAAGGCCCTCTCCCGCACCAACAGAGGGGCTGCCGATCTCGCCACCCCCGTCCCCTCCTGCAACCATCCCTCCCCCTGCTTCGCCCCCAGTGCCTCTATTACCACCACCTCCCTGGCCTTCCCCACCGGAGCCGGTGTGTGATCACTCTCCCCCTGTGGGGCCCCATGCTCCGGGGCCCCCCGGAGGGTCGTCTGCATCTGCTCAGGGGCTTTCGCTGGTGCAACAAATGGTTCACGCAGCGAAGACTCGCTCAGATCTTACAGCAGAGGAGCTGGCTGAGCTGGTCTCAGTCTGTCCGGTGACCTGGCAGGATGATGGCCAGGGCAACCCGGTTGCAAACTGGGTCAGTTTGCCCTACTCGGTGATCAGAGAGGTAAAGAAAGCGATTCGCGAGTTCGGCCTGACTAGCACGTATGTGCGTGGTCTCATTGAAGGGCTAGGTTCTGGGTACTCTCTGGTCCCTGAAGATTGGAAGGCGCTGTTGCACATGATGCTGACGCCCAGTCAGTATGTTATTTGGCTTAGTGAGTATCGGCAGATGGCGGAACGCCAAGCCCAGGTATATAGAGCACAAGGTGTCACTTATGAGCAGTTAGCAGGGGAGGGCCAGTTTGCTACTGTCCAGCTGCAGTCTCAACTCCCTCCGGCCGTCTTCCCCATTATTTCCAACTGCGCCCAGCATGCTTTCCGGAAGGTCCTGGATTCAGGCAAGCCTACCAAAAGCTTTGCCAGTATCCGTCAGGGTGCATCAGAGTCCTTTATGGATTTTACCAACAGATTGCAGGAGGCTATCCTCCGACAGGTGGATAGCCCTGCAGCAGCTCAGGAGATCCTGTTAAAAATGGCAGTTGAAAATGCGAACGAGGATTGCCGCCGTGCCCTCCAGGCGGCACAAGCCTCTGGGATTCTAGAGCTGTCGGACATGCTGCGGGCGTGCCAAAACATCGGAACCCAAGCACATAAAGCACATAAACCCAAACACATAAAGCTGGGGTTATGGCCGCCGCCCTGCGGAAAAGCGGGAAGGAGGGGAAGCGTTGTTACCGCTGTGGTAAGGAGGGTCACTTTCAGCGGGAGTGCCACTCCTCGGCGGCGCCCACTCGCCCCTCAAAGAAGTGCCCCAAGTGTCGGAAGGGCTATCACTGGGCTAATCAGTGCCATAGTGGGTCGGGAAACCACACGGCGGGTCCCCCCCGAACCCAGGGCCAAACGGGGGTGTTTCCCACTCAGACAACTGTTCCTCTGCTTTAAAACCCATAGACTCCATGAAGGCGGCGACTGCCGGAAGTGCAGGGCTTGATTTGATTATGCAGGAGGACGCTGACTTTCGGTTGCCAGGGGAGGTTTGCGCCATACCTTCCCAGGTGACGGGACCTCTCCCTGCTGGATTTGTGGGTCTGGTTCTCCCTCACTCACACGCTGGGAAACAGGGTTTTTTTGTCATCCCAGGGGTCATTGACGCCGACTACACCGGCGTTATTAAGGTTCAGGTATGGACCCATCTTCCACAGTCGCTCCCGCGTGGACGGTCAATTGCGCAATTGATTTTAGTCCCCTATCAGGTGCCAGCTGCAGAGGATCGAGCCCGGGGCGGAGGCGGCTTTGGATCGACGCTGGCTCAGTCGCCATCTCACAACACGTCCTCTCCATTTGTTGCTCTAACAATGTTGGTCCGCCCCTCGAAACCTCAGTTAACACTTCTCTTAAATGATGTTCCTTTTACAGGGCTGGTGGACACTGGAGCTGACGTTACAGTGATTCGCAATCCGGAGTGGCCGGTCAGTTGGCCAACAGTTCCTTCTAAAGAGTTGTGGGGGATCGGGGGTAGTAAACCCGGACGCCAAAGTTTGTCTTGGGTCACGGTCTCTAAACCAGGAGGCTGTGCCCTTGCTACGATCCGCCCTTTTGTGCTCCCTGTCCACCTCAATATTTGGGGCCGTGACTTACTTACAAAGCTGGACATCACCCTCGATATTAATATATAATGGCCCAAAACCCTCCCGCACCCACCTTGCCCTCCGCATTACCATTGGTATGGCAATCCTTAGAGCCCGTATGGATTGACCAGTGGCCCCTCCCTTCAGAGAAGCTGAAAGCGCTTCATTCGCTTGTGCAACAACATTTGCATGCACAGCGCTTGGAACATTCCACTAGTCCTTGGAACACCCCATTGTTCGTTATTAAGAAAAAATCTGGTGCATGGCAGCTGTTACATGATTTAAGAGAAATAAATAAATGCATACAACCCATGGGCCCCTTACAATTTGGCTTGCCGAACCCAAATTTAATTCCTCAAACCGATCAGCTTTGTATGGTAGATTTGAAGGATTGTTTTTTCACCATCCCCCTTTGCCCACAAGATCGCGAAAAATTTGCGTTTATGGTGCCACAATATAATAATCAGCAACCCTCTCATAGGTATCAGTGGAAGGTTTTGCCCCAGGGAATGCAAAATAGTCCGACCTTGTGTCAGCTCTTTGTGTATCGGGCCCTCGCCCCTTTTCGTGCCCGATACCCCACACTAAAGGTCTACCATTATATGGATGACATTTTGCTTAGTGGTCCTCAGGTCACGGCAGAACAGCTTGAATCCTTGTCCCAGACTCTCGGCCAAAATGGCCTATTAGTGGCACCAGAAAAAATCCAACGCTCTTATCCCTACCACTACTTCGGGCATAAGGTTTTACAAACCTATGCCGCCCCTGTTCGCCCAGAATTGGTTCTACCTCAACCCCTAACCCTCGTTAAATTACAACAGATTTTGGGTCATTTAAATTGGATTCGACCCTACTACCGTCTCCCCACTTCAATGCTGCAGCCGTTGTTCGAGCTCCTACGTGGAGCTCGGGCACCAGGCGCAGTTATTGCCATCACTGAGGAGCACATTGCCTGCATTCAACAGATCAATGCAGTGTTGAGTCAGCAGTTTGTGGATAGACTCACTGAGGTCTGTCCCCTGCGGTTGGTTCTCCTTGCCACCCCTCATACGCCTACTGCGGATCTGTTTGTACCTCGTACGGACACAGCCATCTCTATCATAGAGTGGATATATTTGTCATCCACTCCTCCTCGGAACATTTATCCTTATTTAGATGCCCTGTCCGATCTTGTTCGTAAAGCCCGCCACCGTGCAGTGCAACTCACGGGCACCGATTTAGTTGTCATTGTGTTCCCCTTGTCCCGTAGTGAATTTGATTCCTTGTGCCACGCCTCCTTGGCCTAGCAGGTTGCTCTTTGTGATTATGTGGGAGAGATCTCTTATAATCCCCCAAAAGATCCCCGATTGGTAATTACCCAACAGGTGCCCCTAATCGTACATCGTCTTAGCCGCTCTCAACCCACTGTTTCAGCTGTCACTCTTTTTACTGATGGCTCTCCACGTCGAGGTGTGGTCACCTATCAATTAGGTGACCCCCCTCGTTGGCATTCTCGTTTTACGCTGCCTCAGCGTTCTGTGCAGCGCTCAGAACTGGCTGCTGTTGTTTTGGCCTTTCAACTTTTTGCTGATTGTCCCTTTAATTTGATTGTGGACACCCATTATGTTTATCAGGTAACTGATCATTTACCCCTAGCCCTCATTACCCCTCAGGTCGATGCAGACCTCCTTCGCCTGTTTTTGTCTTTACAGTATCTCATCACCACTCGTAATTTCCCTTATTTTGTTGCTCATATTCGCAGTCATACCCCTCTGCCTGGGCTACTCACTGAAGGCAATGCACGCGCCGATCGTGCGTTACGTGGTGAGGTAAATTCCCTTTTTTCTGACCCCATTGAAAGCCATGCCTTTTTTCATCAGTCTGCCTCTGTTTTAGCCCGCCAGTTTCATATTCCTGCTGATCATGCACATTCTATTGTTCGTTCCTGCCCCCACTGTGCCGCTGCTGCCCCTACCTTTTCTTATGCCGTTAACCCCAGAGGTACCGCAGCGAATCAGCTGTGGCAAATGGATGTCACTCACGTGCCACAATTCCGCCCCTATTCGTTTTTACATGTTTCCATTGATACCTATTCGGGATTCCTCTGGGCGACCCCACAGCATGGAGAAGCCACTCCTAAATTTATTCACCATCTGCTAGCCTGTTTTGCTGTTATGGGTCGCCCGAGCCAGATAAAAACAGATAATGCCCCAGCCTATTGCTCCACAGCCCTCTCCACTTTTTGTGCCCGATGGGACGTCCGTCTAAAACACGGGATCCCATATAATTCCACGGGCCAAGCTATTGTTGAACGTGCAAATCGCACGTTGAAAACCTTGCTTGATAAACAATTAAAACAAGGGGAGCTGCATCTCCGAACCTTAGGAGACATTCAGCAGCAATTGCATATCCTTTTGTTCACTTTGAATAATTTAACGCTGAACGCAGATCAGCAGACCCCTGCGGATCGGCATTTTCATAAATCCGAGGTACTGGAAAGACCGCGTGTCTATTACCGTCAGCTGCCTGATCTGCAAGGGCTGGGCCCAGTACCTCTGATCACTTGGGGTCGGGGATATGCTGCTGTGTCTCTCCCTGCAGGACCGTTGTGGGTTCCGGCCCGGTGTGTGTGACCGGCACTGAAACAGCATGGCGTGGCACCAGGGACTGTCGAATCCCATACCGGAGTTTCAGCTGACCCTGGAGGAGAGCGTGGTGCCTCCCGGGTCGACAACGACGGGACGGAAACGGAAGAGGCGTAGCGTCCCAAGCCAGCCCGTGACATGGGGAGCAGAAAAAGCATTGGTCGCCGCGGCTCAACGACGACTGGCAGCAAACCAACAGCCAGAGACTCCTGAGACTTTGTTTGTGGCAATTCTCGCCCAAATTACTGCTAATTCTGTATTGATTGTATGCCTTTTGTGCCTGCTATTTCCTGTAGGGGTTGGCTCGGGAGCGCTTTCTCCGTTATGGGCCCGAATGACATATAACCTATGGGAAAGATTGGCTTCAATAGCAAATGTTACCCATTTTTGTTTATCTGATTCTGTAGCAGCCGGAGAATTGTTAGGTACATGCCTTATTCCAGTATGTCATCACCCTGAGGAAATAGGGAATGAGACAATGCTCACTGCTTACGCGAATCTCTCTTCCCAGTACTCTGGCATGGCTAATTGGGGCCCGGCCAACTATACTTTGCCTCACACGGCCATATCCCTCCACACACTGTACCCGGCCGGGGCCAATAATGTCACCTGTGCACGTGTGGTTAACTGCACTAGTACAAAGGTGCCCTTGGGCTGTCGGCAAATTTCTCAACCCCTTTTAAATTGTTCCCATGCTGTGAATGTTTCGTACAATTATGGCCATATCATCCTACCATCAGGGTGGTTTTTTACCTGCGGCTCACGCACCTTTAGTTATATTCCCGCAAATTTAAGCAATGGCACCCTTTGCTGCCTCAGTAGAATGACACTCATTCTGCCTTTTGCCAGCCAAAAGCGCAGTAAAAGAGGTGTACCCCTTTCAGAAGACTGTGTTGCAGATGTCAATCTTTTCTGTCGCGCTGAGTATACCGCCTTAGCGGCCTCTATTGTTGGAGTCCCTGGGCTTGCCACTTATACAGCCAGAACTTTAAATAACCTGGCATGTTTTGCGGCAAAGGCAATTAATACAACATTCCAGGCAATTGCCCTACTTAACACAGAGCAACACGAATTAAGGGATGCAATTTTGGATAACAGAGCAGCCATTGATTTTTTGCTCTTGAAACACCATCTAGGCTGTTCCACGTTTCGGCATATGTGTTGTTTTAATTTAACTGATAATAGTCGCTCCATAGAAACTAGACTGGCCGAATTGGCCAATCTTATGGCACACATACGCCAAGATCTGGGGTTTGAGGGCTTTTGGAATTGGCTTACAGGTTGGCTGCCCTCTCTAGGATGGCTGCAACAACTTTTCGGTTATGCTGTGTTTGTGATTGTTGGGCTGATATTTTGCTGCTGCTGTATATAATGTATTCCCTCCTTGCTAAGGCTTTGTAGAGACCCGCCCTGGCAGGCTCCCCGAGTTATGTCCTTGTCTGTCCGGGAGTTAAATCGCTTGCAAAAGCAAATTGATGGCTACCATGAGATGGCCGAGCACAAATAACAAAAAAAGGGGGGATGAAGGGTTCATGTAGCATTCATGCACCTGATAACAGTCAGGGCACACCCTGACTGTTGTGTAGGAGCAATGCACACATTGCTCTGTCCAAGGACATGGACCATGGGAACATGGACCATTGGGAAGTCAATTAAAGGACATCAACCATGGGAAGCTTCCTTGGCCTGGGCTCAAGGCCTGAGAACAAAGATTGTAGTAGATAGAGGCTGGTAAATAAGAATATTAATCAAAGTCATATTTTTTCCTTTGTTGATGCCTTTTGCGGTCGGAGTATGTAATGCGCAGGGGGGAGAGAAATAAAAGAGAGGTGGAAAAGCTGACAGGGGCGATCCCGTCAGCAGACCAGCCTGCTTGCTTGCCTAAAGCCGTGTCCTGTCTTGTATTGAACCGCCACAATAACCATACAGCGTCAGACCAATGGTCCATCTAGCCCAGTATAGTATCCTGTCTTCTGACAGTGGCCGGTGCCAGATGCATCAGAAGGAATGAATAGAACAGGACAATTATCAAGTGATCCATCCCCTGTTGCCCAGTCCCAGCTTCTGGCAGTTAGAGACTTAGGGTTTGCAACCCTGGCCATCTGGGCTAATAACCATTGATGGTTGGAACTTATCTAATTCTTTTTTTAACCCAGTTATAATTTTGGCCTTCACAACATCCCCTGGCAATGAGTTCCACAGACTGCCTGGGAATTATGTGAAGAAGTACTTCCTGATGTTTGTTTTAAACCTGCTGCCTATACATTTAATCAGGTGACCCCTGGGCTTGTGTTATGTGAAGGGGTAAATAACACCACCTTATTCACTTTCTCCATGCCATTTATGATTTTATAGACCTCTATCATATCTCCTCCTCCCCTCCTTAGATGTCTCTTTTCTAAGATGAACAAGTCCAGTCTTTTTAATCTCTTCTCATATGGAATCTGTTCCATATCCATACATATTTTTGTGGCCTTCACAGTACTTTTTACAATTATAATATAGCTTTTTTGAGATGTGACAA